AGACCAAGCAATTCTGTAAAAGAATAATTCTACACAGATCCTCTATCAGCTGCTTTGATGAGGTTGTCTTTGGGATTAATTCTACCTTTCTTTAAAGAGAGGCTGTGTCATATCAGTAAAATATGTATACTTGATTTCAGTTCGGATGTAGGCCATGTTGCAGGAGTTGGTCTGTTTTAACAGCAGAAAATGATTCAATGTTGAATTTGAAATTGTTTGCTAGCAAAACTGAAAAGTTCTTCAAGTCATTCTTTGACTTAGGCTCACTTTTTTAAAAGTATCTTGATTTCTCTCCTAAACAGAATTAAAACACTGAACTTTCCTAATGGCAAACCAACTTTTTCATACCAGAAGGAGACTGAGAATGACTCTGAAAGAAAGGGATCAAACCTGATCAGTGTCAAACTTGATTTGTGTCCCATAGGAACGGGCAAAGCCTGCGAAGCCTGGAAGTGAGAGGTCGTATCTGCAGAGAGGAGATTTTCCTGGGATCAAACCTGACAGCTGTTCTCTTCTACTCGTTGGAAAGGAAAATTGAAGATCTTCTTGAAATATTTTGCAAGGTATATTCCTAAAAAGATGGGGTTCTATGTCCTGCAGAAAATTATTCTTGCTAAGTTGGGGCATAACAAAGCTCATGGTACAGGCAATATTTTGATTGTGTTTCAATATTAGATTTCTAAAACGGTTTTTATAATACTGCACATTTTTAAATTTTAATTTGAACTAGTATCTCAAAGGACTGCCATTAGGATACTGAAAAAGCAAACTAAATCACAATCTAACATATGTTCCTAGCCTCACACAAACCATGATAAAGAAAACATTAGGTCAGCATAACCAATCCAGCTTGCTTTGGAATGAGAGATGAGGCAACTTCATCTATGTATATAAGCTTTATGGCTTTCCACCAATATATTCTCCTTAAAGTGGGTTGTGCAACGACAGCCAGTTGCAAAAAGTATATCTGCTGCCAAAACATCATTCAGAAAATCATTCACCCTGAAATTTGTTTCTTTTTAAATTCTCTATAACTTGTGTAGCAACTTGCCACTCCCAAGGGGAAAAGATTTTTATAAATTACTTGTTACCATTACCCTTGGAAACTTATATTCCTTTTATCTGGGATGGGATTCAAAAGTTGTGTATCGTCTACTCATCCGAGTGATAAGATGATATCCTATGAGACAGCACTTCTCAGCTTGCTTTTACACTGCTGTCAGAAGTAATTAGAGACACAGACAACACTGCCCAGCATCCTTCAGCACATCTGAGCAGCAGCCAAACCAGAACTGGCTTCAGTTTCTTTGTACTCAGCTTACCTTCCCCAAGGAATTAACAAAGTACTTCAGTTTTCCCTCATCAGCCTTGGTTCTGCTATGGTTCCCCATGCCCTGACAGCACTGCCTTCCCATCCTGGATACAGGCCAAGTCCTTCTGCAGGGTTCTTTTGGGGCTGACTGGCAAAAGCACTCCTGTTTGTTGTCACAGAGATGTCTTGGAGGAAAATGGTGTATTATGTAATACTTCTGGTAGTCTGCCATGCCAGCCCTTTTTAATCCCTATCTTTCAGAGCAGTTTGTGTTGTTTATCCTTCTTATTTCCACAGCCTGGTGGGTGCATTTTCTTTAATTTGATCCTGTACCCTCACTGCCCCACTGCCATCAGTTGCCTTCAGGGTGACACTATTTCTAATGCACATACAGCTGATTTTATGAACTCATGACTTCACAGGCTGTTCGTTTGCTTATTTTACTTTAGCAATGTAGGTATGTTTTCTTTTATTATCTCTTTTAAGCAATGAGCTACTTCTTGAGTCTCACAGGTGCTCCCTGGCTTGGAAGGCTTTGTCCCAGGGACAGGTAGTGGCTTTGGGACAGGGATATGTCAGTGGTGCTGGGCAGAGAAGGGCAGTTGGCCAGGGCATCGGGCCCTTTCCCTGGGGTAGGCAGGAGCTTTCCATCCTCAGCCTGCAAATGCTGCTGCTGTTTCATGGCTAATTTAGTTAACTGAGTAATTGTGGGGTTGTGGGCGGGGCAGGAGGAAACCTTCACTGGAAGGAGCTGGTTGTGAGGCTACTCCATTGAGGTGCTCTAGGAACATGAAATACAGTTTGGAAAATGAATCATAGATTCACTGACAAAGAGGGGACTTGAGGAGCATATGCTACTATGAGAAAGCTAGCCAGGATGCTGGGAAGGAAGGAGGGATCACTGATGGGTAGCGGGAGGCAAACTGTAGCACCTGGTGCTGGACTTTGGCCTTAATGCTGGAAGCCTCTGGATGCTTCCCTGGGCTAGCTGCTCCAGCAGGGAAGGTGCTGGGGATACCTGGGCTCGGTGATTACAACTGATTAAAAAGTCATTCACTGAGGAGAGAGAAGAGAGAGAGCTCACAGCACACATGTTTGTGTTAAGAAGGCTTGTTCAGGTACTCCCATGCGTGTTCTCCTCATAGATGCAGTGAGGCCACCTGGTCCCATGCCAGTGTTTTGTGTAATGAAAACATGCTACATGTGCTCAACATACCATTTTTAAATCTTTATAGCTTCACATGAAAACCTGTGCATGGCAAACATAGTATTACTCCTTCAACAAGAGCTTTACTGTCTTACATAGGAGAAGATTTGAAGCATATTTTCTAAAATACATCTGAGATGTATTTCTTTCAGTTTGTATAATTCAAGACTTTGGAAAGAATGCAACCGAGACAAAAAAACTATTGCTGTTTCTTCCTGTTTCTCCCTTAACCGTCTGGTATTCCTTCTGTCCCTCTTTGAATTATTACATAATTCTCTGATGAGCTAAAGAGATTATTTCAGCTGTAACCAACCTTTTAATCTTGTAATTGAACCAAAAAGTTTCAAAATCAATTATTCTCTGTAATGCGTTAATATAAGTAGTCACCATCTTGAAGGTCAGATCTATCATGTTGAAATCGGAACCTTCTACCCCTCATCAACAGGCTTCAAATATACCTGAAATCATTGTGCCTTGGATCGTTATTCTTACCAAGCATTTCAATGTACTTGGGTTGTCAGGTTATTTTAGTTTGAAAAGCTTTTTCATAAGTGTGTGTAACCAAGTGCCTCATGGTGATGGTGTTCTACACAGGATCTAGCAACTAAAGCAAGGGAATGGCTTAGATATTCTGAGGACTTGGTAATGCAAGTCCAAGTTAGTTCTTTTTCCAGTATTAGTGTGCTGTATATTTTCTCCACCCACCCATCCATATTTAAATCTTTTGTTGTTATGAACAGGAAACTTTTCAAGGCAGGATCCTTAGGGCCTTCTATTAGGGCGGTTGTACTTGGGTTCTCCTAATATAGTGAGATGCTTAACCACAGAGGGTTTTTTTAGCATCATCACAGCATAAATGATGCTAAAATATGTTTCTTAAATGTTTCTATGACTCACTCATTTGAACTGCCAATTTTTAGTAGGATATCAAGGTGAATAATAATTAAGCAATATTTTGTGTATATATGTGTGTATATATTTAAATCTTTTTTTACTACCAAAGGAGACTGAAGCTTTACTAATTGGAGAACTAACTAACTAACTAAATAAAATCTACTTTGTTTTTTCTTCTGCTTTTTCTAGGATCTTTCTGTAAGTCTGGCAACACGATGCTGTAAGACCACTAGTGATGGTTAAGTATTTTGCTTCTTTATTGCTGAAAGGGGCTGAAACATTTAGACATGAGTCGGCTGATCAGGCAAAACAACATGATATCATAGTAGTCAATGTAACAGCAAAAGAGGCCTCCATTGGAGAAAATGGTAAGAACTGTTTTCACGTTGTGACACAAGTATTTGTCCTATAAATGCATCAGCTGTTTTGTCTGACTGGTTAATAGTCATATAATGAATAGCGTAGTTAGTTATTAGGTGTTTGAGATATGTGTGTTGAATAGTAAAACTATTGTTAATATAATGATACATTAATAATAATAACAAATAATATAATTAATAATATATACAGTCAAAGGTTTTATTCTATGAAATTGTATTTTTATAAGAAAAGATGACTACTCTTAAACTGTATGCTGTATAAATATAGTCTGTAGGACATTTGTGTTGTGCCCCAGGAAATGAATCTTATCCCATCCAGACACAGTTGGTGTGTGACCCTGCTGAGTCCTGTGAATGAGACATTTTTGAGTTACTGGTAATCACATAATTAGAAATCTTGACCGAGAATCCATAAACAGGAAGACTGATGGTTGGTATTGAATAGTTGTGTAAAATTCTTCTCTCCTAGTCGACATGATACTGATGTCTCAGGACATACTGTTAGAAATGGCTCTACAAGTGGAATACTAAATTGAATCCTATACTTACAGAAGTCAGCATGAGTTTTGGACAGTTTTCACGTAGTCTGGATCTTGCATTATAGTTTTCCTATGGATTTCACGTTTTTATATCCTTGGGTCATCAAAATGGATAGTATTGTTGATAGAGAAAATGCCGTCCAGAAACACTGGCTACTTCAGGAAATGTTTTTATATCTCATGAAGGGTATTTGAACTGTGCATCCAAATTTTTCATGGTTCCCTGAAATACCTCCTCTTTTTTCTTCTTTCTTTTTTTATTTCTAAAGCTGTGCCTAAGTTCTGCAAATGTTTGCATAATGTCTGAGAGTAGGCCTGTTGCCATTCTTTGCTATACGCAACACAGTGTGTTAGCTCCAGGTTAAGGGCTGGAGGTGCATTCCAAATCTTATTAGTAAAACTTTATTTCTCTACATGTGTTGTTGATTCTTTCTCAATCATCCACAGAGCTGTACAAATACCAGCATGAGTAACCATAATTTAAAGGTAAAATTTCAGGGTTGAGTTTCCCTAAAATGAAGCATATGTTTGAGTTTTATTTCAATTGAGGTTTCAGAAGTTTTATTTCAGTTCCAAGCTGCTTATTAAAATTCTTCATGGTGTAAGAATTTTGAGCTTTAATCCTTAGGATTACTTTTTAAGAATATTGTTTCTTTTTTTTTTTGTAGTGTTATGTAAAATACAGGTTCTAAATAGCTACCTAATGGTCTCAGAGCCCTCAGAACAGCCCCAGAAGATTTTACCAAGTATATTTTTAGAAGTTACATTCTCAACGGTTGCTCTGTCATCTTACTAAAAACTTAACAAGATAAGTAAATTGGAACATGAAGTCAATACATATCTAGAGTAATGCAATTCTGAAATAGGGAAACTGGCCAAGATACCAAGATATATCTAAATATATATCAGATATATAGCTGATAGCTGAAGAAACTGAAGGATTTCCACTAAAGGAGGGGATGTGTGTGTACATCCATATATAAGTTCTGTGTAGAAGCCAAAAGACTGGACACTTCTGTGTCTCAAAAATAAAATATATATATCCTCAAAAAGATGTGGATCAAGAGCAAGAAACTTACTGCTCAAATAACATGGGCTAAATCCAAGGAGCAGACTATGTTACAGTGTAGCCATTACAGTACTTCAGTGTAGTATTTCTCATCTTTCTGTCTCTGACACCCAAGACAGAGCTTCTGTTATTCTTGCCAAGTGTCAGCCAGCTGTCTTGACCTCAGAAATCAGTGCTGTTCTCTGACATAATGTACCCTTCTTTGGAATGCCATCATGGCTTTGGGCACTCGGGGCTTCTGCTTTAACTCACGTGAAGATGTGATTGGAGCGGTATTGTCACGCCACTGACCTTCAGATGTTTTAACTTGAGCTTCCTGTACAGCCAGTGGTGAGAAATGCTCAGAATGGATTCAGGCCTAAGTTAAACTCTTGTTTAACTCTTGGCACAGCTAAGCAATAAAAGTGTAATCCAGATTACTCTCTGGAGGAACCTTGCTTTCTTCACTAGTCTCTTAGTTTAGATATCAAAATTAATGTCTAGTTTTGGGTAACATGGTTATCCTACAGTACGATAAAAGGGCAAGGAATGAACATTTAGAAAAAAAAAATCTTAACCAGTGATTTATCTTTAAAGGACTTGAAAATAATGGTTCTTTGACAATAGCAAATGGCCCAGGGCATTCCTGTTTTGCTGTGAGCTCGTCTTTTTTTTTTTTTAAAGCTTATATTTTACTATATTACAGGCTGAGCATTGTCCATCCTGTAGGAAAAACAGAAGGCAGAGAGCTTGATATGAGCTAGACATCTGCCCTGCATAGAACAAAATCATACTTCTGAAAAAAAGAGACTGTATTTGTGCCTTGCAATTGGACAACAGTGCTCTTTGCAGTCCTTGAAGAGAAAAAGTCTTCTTCACTCAGAGGGAACCAGCAGATGAACGATGATGAAAACTTATGAAGTCTCAGTTGCTTCTCAGAGGGTGAACTAATGAGCAGCTAATTTTTTTAACATGTTCTTATGCCATTATTTTCAGCCAAATCAGCAAGTAGATCTATGTGGCCAAACAGATAGTGGAACAGCAGAAGAGCAGGCAGAAGTGCTGGTGGGACAGAAGGGCAGGGCTGCTTCTCTTGTGTTAGGCAGTCTTAGATTGGCTAAATTGTAAGTTACATCTTTGGCAATTCTTCAGCAAGGACTCAAATATGCAGGTGGCTGCCTGGATTGCAGTCTTTGGGCATAACCAGACTTGCAGAGTTAGAGAGTATTTCCAAATGCAGTTTAACATCTTGTTCTCAATTTGATGCTGCCCTGCCTCGTGTTGTCACAACATGCTGGAGCCAAGAATAAGCAGAGTTATGAAACAGGTCAGCCTTCCTTACTGAAACTTTGGTCACAGCTGAAATGTGAAGAAACTGGAAGATTTCCACTGAAATGAAGAGTGTTATCAGGTACTGGCTGATCTGACCCTTTGTAGTCAGAATAAACCCCATTTTGCAAAAAGGTGTAAACAGCAAAATTTCATTGTTACTAATTCAGTTTTGTGCATCTGAATTTTCCCTTCTTGTTTCAACAAATTATAGGATCTGACTGCAGATTCAGTCAGGTGCTTTTGTATAATGTTGCCAAGTACGGTCATACTGCCACACTTCATCATATATGTGGGTGCACTGAAAAATACACACACATTTATAAAGCACTGTAGGATTTTTCTGAGTGAATGGCATTATAAAGAGAAGATAATTATTCCAGCATTTAATCCAGATTTTCTATATAAAGCACATTTTGGGATTGGGAAAAGAACCAAAACGTGTAACAATTTTGGGGTAAGAGAGGAGTCCTTTTTATTTTTAAGTATAATATTAGTATAAAGTTAGAAATGAGTCATTCTCTAACTAATTTCTGACTCGGTGACTGATGCTCTTGGCAAACTAATTATCCAAGACAAGTGACTCAGAAATAGATGCTACTGGCTGTTGCTGTTACAACTAGACATGAGGCTTGATTTTGGGTATAACAAATGTACCTATACCCTGCAAATTATACCACAGTGCTGCTCAAGGATGTATTACACATGCAGATTTCTTTAATCTGATGTTTTGATTTCAGTTTTAGGTGGATGGTATATAGCTAGGTTCTGGGTGTCTAAAGCAGACATGGCTACCACGAGTTTAAGCAGTGTACTTCGAGGAGGAAAATCTAATGTGGTATGTATTTCTTTCCATCCAGGAACGGTGATTTATTAAAGCCTCATCACATGAACATTCTTCTGAATAAACTTTTCACCTCAGAATTCTTAATAAATTGTTTGAATACTGTTGAGAACATTGATATGGGTATGGTGGGAAGATTCATGCCATATTTGCTTGGGATGGATATGATACCATGTTGTTGCCTCTAATCCACTCTTTCTGTTTTGTTTCTTTGTCTTTCCCTGCCCTCCACACTCTGCCTTGGCTGCAGTTTGTAAGATACTATCACAGTGCAGGTCTGATCTGATGAAACCACAACTAATGCCAATGCCTGCCTATAAAGGGAAGAGAACCCAGCCTATAAACTTGGGATTTCTGGCCTCTTATTAGGTAAGTCTGTTACTCATCTTCCCCTTTCACCCCCCTCAGTTGCCTTTGTTCCTCTTCTTCCTCTGTATCATTAACTCATATCGAAGTTCAGTGTCCCTGGTTACTGCGAACCCGGTTTCATTTGGCTATACATAGACTCTTCCCTAAAGAAGTCACAGGTTGCCTCCCTGTTGGGTGTTCATCATGCAATGAAAATATGAAACACAATCTTATTGTAATAGTTCTGAATGATTTTCAGCTGAAGCAATGAAGAAGAAAGCCTGGCATATTTTAGTGAGATGTTCATGTTTCTCAACTATGATTTTTAAATTGAGATCTTAAATTTATAGTAACACTAGAAATTAATCATATTCACTGCAGATACTGTACAGCCTTATTCTTAAAAAGTAGGCTAGTATAGCTGAAATTATTCCTGTACTGAAACAGGAGAATGTCTTAAGAAAGCTGGGTTGAGTAGTAGTTTCTATTCTCGTTATTTTGTTCAGTTGTAAATATAACAAACAACAGATAAAATAACTATTGACGTAGGGAGTAACACAAATCATGTCAAACAAGGACTTCAAACACCATACTTTGAGGTCAGTTACCTGTGTGCTTAGAACTTTGATCATACTGGTAACGGCCAGATGACACAACTTGTGTGGATGTACATGCAAAGATAAATAGGCAGCTGTTCAATGAATTTTACAAGCAGAACAGCAAAACGTCAGTAAAGTGAAAATATGTGTTTCTAATAGGCTCAAGGAACTTCAATAAAGGAAGATAATACTGATGAATTAATTTGCTGAAACTGCAAGCAAGGGGTTTTGTTTGTTGGTTTGTTTTTAAATTTAAATGGATCCTGTTTTCAATAAGCAGCATGAAGGAGGAGTCTTTCCAGGGCCCTGCCATTTGAAATGGAAGACAGCTTGTTCTCTGTCTGATGAAATGTAAGTTCAGCTGCTAATCAGCCAGCCTAAAGCACTGCTAGATTAATAGCCAGTTTTGCTGAGAATACAGCTTCTGGGGAACTGAAACTGTTTCTTAAATCTGTGAGTGAGAAAAGTGGCAATTTCTGTAAGAAAATTAAGATAGACTTATGTTTGAAAATCATCAGAATTTCAGGTTTCCATTTCAGCACTGACCCTGCCTAGGCAAACAAGTTAAAAATCTGAGAACGACCCTGGAATTCTGCTGCTAAATTTTCCAGTTGAGGGGCATAAGTATTTCAATTTCTGCTTTGGGTCAAACTGATCCAAATGTAGATTTCAGTTTGAAGGTGAGACCTGTCTGCAGGTTCTTCTCAGTTCTCACTACTTTTTGTTTTATCATTGTTTTTGTTTCTTTAAATGAGAGGTGAGAGGTACAGTTATTCGCATTTTGTGAAGGGTCTGAAGATCTGTGGGTACAGAGCACTGTGTAGTTGCAAAGTATTTAAATTCAGAGCTATGTTACGTCTACTTCCTTTTGCCTTTTATCACTTTGTGCTGTGACTGAAGTCAATCTGCTTATAATCAAACCTAACCTTGGTTGGTGATTAGGGATGGAGAACTGTGGGATTTTTGTTTTAATCACAGACTTTTAGTTCACTGAAATTAAGGTTCCAGACTGATTTCTCTCTGCAGGAAAGATATGCTTTTTATGTTTGATTTTTTTGAGGGTTTTTTTTGGTTAATGTTTCACTGATTGTTTATTTTTGCTATTCCTATGAAAGTAGGCATGATGTGTCAATCACCAGTGCTCTTTGCATTTGCCTCAAAATATAGGAATTAATCTCTAAAAATTACTTTGTTTATGTATGTGTTCTTTAGATTGTTCTGTGAGGATCTAAGGTCTGAAAACTGTCAATAATAAGGAGGTAATGAATCAGACATCTTTTTTTGGTTTAGGATTTTAGGTCACACATATCAATTTCAGCTTACATCAGATTACAGTTGTGCCTGTGAATGGAGACTAATGTAATATCATTTGTGGGTATTCTGTTATTTGCAATCCATGACCACTGATGCCTCATAACCCCTGCATCAGTATTTTTCTCATACCTTCCATACCTTTATCTGACAGGGTAGCTGTACCTTTCTGATTTATGTGCTTGGTCTGCTTATATTTTCTCTTTTTTTGTTGTTTTGTTTCATTCGTTTGTTTGTTTTTATTTGGGATTTTTGTTTATGTCTTGGGTTTTTGTTTGTTTGGGTGTTTGTTGTTTTGTTTTCCTCTTTCCTTTTAAGAGGAATATCACCTTTGGTATATTAAGTAAATTTTATAAATGGAGAGAAATCAAATCAGTTAATGGATACTATATTTAGAGCAGTCAGGCAAAAAAATATGAGGGATAGATGTCTTAGCTGTATCAGTTCTGTTTTCAGTGGATATACAAGGGTTTTCTAAACAAAAACAAGTATCTTTATCTCCTGTTTTACAGGAGATACACAGTGCTATGTTTTCACATTCTATGTGCGACAGCGCTGGCACCAAAAGAAACTGTAGCTTCTTTATCTGACTTCCATGAGAAAATTAAGGTTAAATACAACAAATTTGGTTAGCAGTGTTCATGAGGTCAAAGAGTCTGATTTACCATTTTGGGTTGAAAAGAACAATAAATGTGTATAATTAAGACTTTCTATGTGAGTGCCAAAGTATATCTCAGGGTATTCTGCCATATGTTACAAGATAATACAAAATCTTAGTGCTCCATGGCACTTGGCATATATGTTTCTTAGAGACTTTGAGGTTAATAGTTGTTTAAAGGAACTCGTTTTGAAGACCCATATTGTATCTTTGAGACTTAAATTCCCATTAGACCAAGTGTGTGTTTGTATTAGTTATGTTTTATTACAAGAAAACAAATATTTTGGTGACGCTAAGGTTCCCGCAGTGGAATACAAGTTGCCTCCTATTCAGGAGAGACCCTGAAAGTTATTTTCTATTGCAGGGTTTTTTTCACCATGTATGTAATGAAAAGACAGAAGTCTATGATTATAGTTCTGTTTTTTCTTTTTTGTGTGTACATAGTTTGTATTGATCTTGTGAAAACCTGAAAGCTCTAAATTGGCCTCTTGAACAAAACAAAATGGATTGCATGGAACGGACTCTTCACTGCGATAATTGCTTTGAAAGGTCACTAATTCCAGAAATATTCAGAAGACATTAATATGGCAAACCTACCCAACGTTAGCATAAGGTTGCTTCCCTCCTTTGTTGCTAGGTAGTTGGAGCCTTTAGGGCCAAAGTTGTCATTTATAGCATAGTCCCTTCCTACACAAGACTTTCATTCTTTGCAAGCATGCATAAAAAAGGTATTTTTAAAAATATTAGCATTTGAGTATTATTATCTGTGGTTTCAGCTTCATCTCACAAGGACACATTAAATGTTTTTTTCAACCTAAACAGAAAGGTTTATCTGTCTGAAAGCACAGTCATATTGTACTAAGGTTTTAACTCCAGATGAGTTGTGGTGTTTGGACTTAACCATGTGCTTGAATCCTCATTCAGACATACACTTCCCTGCTAGTGGAGAAATCCTAAAGGTGTGGCATGTTTCTGTTTTACTCTGATTCCCATCTCTGGACTATTTTAGAAGAAAAAAAATAAAACCTCTGTGTCCTTTCTACACTCTAGTGGACACTGTGTGTTTCCTCCAGAGTTAGAGGAGTAAGCCAGTTCTGTCTGCAGTGTGTCTAGCTAGTTCCAAGAGATGCCTTTTTTTCCTCTTTCACACACAGGCATAAGAAGTGAAGTTCTCTGTTGTTACCTGTTTCATTGTCATTAATATCCATGGAATTTCATGTCAGCATTTAAGCTCTGGGAGTACAGACCAGTGCAAGTAAAAAATCTCTGTGCAGCTGACTATTGATGGTAGAACCAGTTTCTCCTCCTCTTCAGATGTGGCAGTGCTGAATAAGGAAGAGTAGTGAGTCTTTCATACTTGTTAGCCATTCTGTCTTTCAAAGTGCTTGTTTTAAAACTGTCGTTTCCCTCCTGATTGCATTGTGAAGGACCACGTAAAAATGCTGAATTGAAAAGAAAGTGAAGACATTCAGGCAAGCAAAACCAGTATGTATAGATACATGAGGATAATTGTCTGTGGGGGAGCAGTCAGGAGCAAAGGCCGTTGTTTTCTCTAACAAATGCTCTGCCACTTGTTGCAATAGTTTTTTTTATAATGATGAACAGTATTTCTCAATCAGTGGGTTGTGAACTTGCATGTTTTCCAATTACATTTTGTATATTTAGGTTTGATAGTTAAAGATAAGCAGCAGTACACTGAGCCAAATACTAAGGTACAAGATAGATTTGATAGAGACAAAGGAGAGTGTATTTGAAATTAGTTTTTTAGCTTTTTTACATACCTAATAGTTTGAATCCATTACCAGTTTGTTTGTGCTTTTTAAAGCTCTTTGCAGAATAGAAACTATGGCGTGGGAAAAAAAAAGATTATTCACCTCCAACACCTACTTTATCTTCACAGGCTGATACTCCTAAGAAATAATCAAGGACTAGATTATAAATGTTACTAATTTGGGGAGTTTTATTTGAAATGTCTAAATTAAGGCACTTAAGTTTTTTGTTTCCTATAAAAGAAGAGCACCAACAGCTCTGCCAGGGATCAGTTAAAGTTGTGGAGAGTAAGTGTAAATTAAGGTAATTGTGTAGTTGACCATAGAGATATTGGCAGAAAAGGCTTTAGAGGGAAAAGGTTATCACTGCTTTGTGACTGCTGCATGCTTTTTTTCAGTTGGGATGAAAGACGGCAACCACAATCTCTAACCTCATCTCAGAACTGCCAGAGGATAACTGTAGAAACCACTTGGACTGCTGCAAAGTCTGGCCACAGGGATGGGCAGGATGGTAAGACCAGACTACACCTATGTACTCTTCTGACTATTATTCCTTAGTGTTGGCTATTGCTGTTAGATGTGTAAGTCATTTCTCTTACATGGGCAAGGGGAACAGTTTTAAACTAAGAGAGGAGAAATTCAGATTAGATATTGTTAGGAAGAAATTCTCTGCTCTGAGGATGGTGAGGCACTGGAGCAGGTTGCCCAGAGAAGTTGCAGATGCCCTATTCCTGGGACCGTTCAAGGCCAGATTGGCTGGGGCCCTGAGCACCCTAATCTGATAGTGGCATCCTTATACATGGCAGGGGTGGAACTAGATGGTCTTTAACCAACCCAAACCATTCTATGATTCTGTGTCCTAGTCCATTCCGGGTTCCAGGTAGCATTCAAACTGGCTTGCCTGGATACCAAACTTGGTGCTTGGGCCAGGAGATCTATCTATGCTGTATTTTCATCAACAAAGGGAAAGAACATTGCTCATTAAGGGCTGTTCAGACTGCCAAAGCAAAGTTCTTGCTTAGACAGAGTGCCTTTCTCCATGTTTCTGTGAAAGTGCCTTTCTCCTTGGTGAAAGTGAGGGGGAGATGAGCTTCAACTCTGCAGGGCTTTTCTTCATAACATCAACAGATCTTTAACTGTCACAGAAGGCATAAATAAAAGGAGCCTGCCGTGGTAGGTGGGTGGGAAGGGAAGGAACTGATGGTCTTAGTATAATCTTTCTTGTCCTCAATCTGACAAAGATTTAGGCATATGACTCAATTTATGCCCTTTATTTCCTCTGTCATCTGCAATCAGTTTCCCCTCTCAGATGCCTTACTATCTGAGGAAAGCAGAATTTTCATGTTAGCTAGCTGTTGTCATAGTAAGGTTTCCTTGGCTTTCCTGTGATCACACCAATAATACTAGAGGCCTTTGGGTCCCTTTTGTCATTGCATTTTCCAGATAAGAATTTTACACAGTTAGAGATGTTTTGTCCCATTTGATTTACACTCTATCATTTCTCATTATATAGTTATGTTTGACTGTTGGTCTTCTAGTCCTGCAATTTATGAGAAAAAGAACTTTAAAAAAAACACGTGTCTACCAAAGGTACTGCATACACCAAAACAGTTTGGGTGTTTTTTCCCAGTTCTAAAAAGAAGGAAGAACTAACAGACTCCTGGAGTTGGTGCTTTCCATTTGATATGTGTGGTATGTGAATACACCTAAAACAAATCAACAGTATCTGATTTTTTGCAAGGAATGTTCTTAATAGTATTATGCTGTACTGTATTTGCTTTATTTTCAAAGACGAAAAATTGAATAAAAACTAGTGTGACTGTCCTGCACTGCAGAAACAGGATAAACATGGAAGTAATATGAGTAGAATATAAAGAGGAGTGGCAGAGTGCCAGTAGCCCCTTGAACGTAAATCTGCAGGCAGCTCTACCACAAGTTTGTTTCATTGCACTCCTTGCATTGCATAAGACAATTTGTGTGGTTTAAGAAGATGTGTACATGCATCTCATTACCACTGCTCTCCAAAATATCCCCAAAGCTTTATAGCCAGCTGCCTTTGAATTACAGTAACACCACTAGTGCTCTGTAAGATTTTTTTTGTTGTTGTTCTTGTGTAATGGATTTACATGTGAACTGCACTTGTTTGATGATATTTTAGCTTAGCCTTAGACCAAGACTATGGAAGCACCACGGAATGAGGGAGGAGTAGCTAATCTTCATAGGTTCCTAAAAAATTTCAGGCCAGGTTGCCTGATGATAACATATCTGAAAGGGTGGGATATTTTGGTTGGTTTTTTGGGTTTTGGGGTTTTTTTGTGGGTTTTTCTTTTGTTTGATTTTTTTTGTTCAATGGTTTTGAAGCTGTAAAAGCTAGACTGCAGCACTTTGGATTCTGGGGCCAAGTATCTTAACTGAAGGTAGTCAGTAGTTAGTTGAAACTGACTCTGAGAGTTAGAGAATTGCAGCCTTGCCCTCTGGGTTTATAAACAAATAAAAAGAGGTGATAGAAAGCTGAATGTCTGAAATGCAGGCAAGTATGGAAAAATCCACAGAGTGTTTGTTGTGCAAATGTGTTATATGCAGTGAGTCAGTACAGCAGACTTGTTCACTGTTCTGAGTCCATTTGTGTCCTGGATTCTTCTGCATACAATGTGTTTGTAGTCCTTTTGCCACCAGATTGCTAGTTTACAGTGAAGTATATGAGAAAATATTTTAAAATAAACAAGTAGTTTCCACCTACTCCAGTTCAGAAAGACAGAAATACTGAGTAAACATTAATTTTAAAAAAACTGGAATCATCCTTAATTTTGTTTGTTAGTATTGTACCTAGATTCTATCTGGATTGTTGTCTTGCAAATTAGACTGAAAACTGTCAAATAGGGTTTGTTTAGAAAGTTAGAGTAAAAGAAAGAGAAAAAATTTACTTTGGCTGCACCGTTAGAAACCGAATTTGTAATACATGTTATAACTTCATGGACAGAGATGTTCCACCTACTTCTTGATTTGCAGCAATCGAAATATGTATAAAGTATATAGAAGGTAATATAAAGGGATGTAGAGTAGGCAGTAACTTACTGAATGTGTATATGTGGTATGAAGAGAAGGGAGTGTGGTACCTCTTAAAAACAGTACCTGCTTGCAGCCAGTTGTGCTGTGATGTGTTGTCTCAAATAATATCAGTGAAAACCCAGCAGACTCTGACAGTTGAACCAACTGCTCAGGACAGCTTATTGCTTCTTTTTGTTCTGTTTTGAGGATGTGACATTATCACTTCTGTCATATTTCTTCTGGATTATGTTTTCTATCATGTTTCAGATTTTCAAATACTAAGTATAATGTTAAAGCCTTCACATCACCAGCCTAGCTCTGTGCAGAATATTGGAAGAGCACAGGCTGTCTACATCACTACATCAGGCAGTGAGTTCATAAAATTGGGTGCTGTGATCCTACCTGTGGCTCACAGCTGGTGCAATTAGGCTGAACAGTTCATTTGCTCCAAGTTTCAGCTTTATTAATTCAAAAGACTCATGTCTTTTCCTCCTGAATACCAAATGGATTACACTGGAATTTGCCTGTGCTCAAAATAAGAAATGCTATATACACCTGAGGACATGAGATTCTTTCGTTTTAAATCCTTAGAGATAATACATTAAACATACTCTAATCTTATTTTCTTTGTTTTGATTTACAACGCAGCAGATTTGTGAAATCAAAACTGAAGAGTGTATGTAAAACCTTTCTAAGAGCTTGTTCCAAAATTAAACAAGTGTAAACAAAAATAATGTGAAAAAGATGGTATTTTACGATGCAGAAATCCATTCATGTGATATTCATAAGTACAAGAGAGAAATTGTTTTGTTAAAGCAGCATCTCGGTTTGAAACAGTCTTTCCACAATGAAAGTTTTGGGAAGTGTTTATATCCATTCCTGCTGGAGAGCTTACGTGATCAGGGAAACTTGCACTCTCAGAAATTAATCCATCCCTGTACATAAAGCCTGTCACTTGATTTGGACAGTCTTTACCATTTCACTGTTTTAATATTTTCTCCAGCATTATCTGAGTTGACATTTCTTGTTGTTATATGCCATTGGTCTATACTCCCCCTGAACTTGCCAGTGATTTGGATCATATTCTAACAGTATTTCCTGACCTACTTCTTCCATGCAGCACAGTCCAGTCCACTTCTATCTTGGGCATAATTCTGCAATATTTACAGCAAAGTATTAGGGAAATATTTAATTAGAAATAAAAGATTAGAAAGAACCTCAAAAAGATGTCCTCTCCTTGCTGCAAGTCTGGATCAACTCTACCTAGACTGTTCCTCACAGATATTTAACTTTTTCTAAATACTTGTCAGCAGTGGACAGTTGAGTCTTCCAGTTCAGTCTAATGCTTGTCTAACTTTGTGCTAGGAAATGTCTGCCTCCAGTGTAAAGTGAATTTCCTTAAATGCACTTACAACTTAGGAATTTTCTTGTTTCTCAGCAACTGTGATGTATTTCCTTTGCTGCTACCTGTTCCAGAAGTGAATACTCCTTCAAATCTTTCATTTCATAGACTAGAACTCGATGTTTTTATTTAATCCTTTGTTAATTATTCCACAAGTTTTTTAGAAGCCTAAAACTGGGCACAGTACTTGAAACAGGTACAGTATTCCATTGCAGAGTTAATGGAAGGACATTTAAGTATGCAGTTAAAGGTGCGCATGCTTTTGTTGGAGTAAGGTAAAGTTGCCATTCTTCAGCTGAGATACAGTAACTGCTCATGTGTCTGCTCCCAACAATTGCAGGGAAAAACAGGCTTGCAGGCATGGTCCCAGGTTCTGCATCTGGCTGGCTGAATGTGCAGTCAGTTTCTGTGTCAGGGACGGAGAAGGGGACAACTGTTACCAGCTGAGGACAGTGGCAGCGAGGATTCCTCATGCCCTGAGAGGTCTGACTTGATAACCAAGGGTCACAAAGCGTACCCAGCCAGCTGCCTAGCACTGCCAACAAATGGCATGAAGGTCTGTGCCATTCCAGGCAACACCCTTCAGCTTTGTAGTTTAAGCATAATTAGTTATGTTAGGGAGATCTCAAAGAATTTCACAGTTTTGGAAGCACTACAGCTCCTTCTAGCAATAAATGTATGTAGCCAGTCTTTCTTCCTACCCTCTTCAGTGCAATCGCTTTAGGGCTGGCAATTACAGCAAGTGCTTATGCATTAGGGTATGAGGAAAATTCTAAGTGTTTAAATCATCTTCAGAACATCATACAGGGTTTTAGGAAGAAAATTTTACTTTGCTCTTGAACACTCTTTCTTCATTTTCCCAACTTGGTGCGTATGCGTTTCTATTGCTTGCCTCCAGTTACCTAAACATAATGTTCTGGTCGTAGACAAGAAGTGGAGAGAATGTCGGGTAACCTCTCATGAAGCAATGTCTTCTGTAGGCAGTTATAACAGCTCTTCATTCTTGGTACGTGTTCTACAGTGGAGGGCTTATGTCCTGTACTAATTCTAGGTGTAAGGAG